GGGGGGGTCTGCGGAAATGTGTCTTTGTATAAAATCTGACTCAGGGCCACCGTGGTGGGCTTCAAATGCCCACTGAGTGCCTGGAGCTCTGTTCAAACCCTGATTAGAGTCCCAGAGACTTGACCTAACCTCTAACGGCCGAGGAGTGGAGAAGCATTGACATCTGAGTAAAACTAAGTATTTAGCAGTGTTGGAAGAAGTACTCCCTTTACTTAAGTTAAAGTACAAATACTAAGTCCTGATCACTCCCTAATGTTCGTATTGTTCGTACTTGTTACTGTTTTTATGGCATTTCAGACAGACAAACTCAAGATGTACAATTACTATGTCTTGAAAAAACACTTATTGTTTGCTGCCAAATGTCAATACAAAATATATTACACACAAAAAAATAATAAAGTACAAATGCTATGGTCTTAAAGTACTCCACTACAAGTAAAAGTCCTGTTTTCAACATTGTAATTATGTAAAGTACTCATTCTGCAAATTGGCCCATTGCAGAATTATATAAAGTACTATCAGCTAAATATACTTCAAGTAGTAAAAAAGTACTCGTTATGCCGAATGGATCTTTCCAAAAATCTATTCTGAAATGTGCAGAATGAGTACTTTTTGTACCTTTAACTATATTTGGATGCTAATACTTTTGTGCTTAAGTTACATTTTTAAATCAGGGCTTGTAATGGAGTATTTTAAGACCATAGTATTTGCACTTTAACTTCAGTAAAGGATCTTCCACCACTGAGGCACATCAAGTGAAAGGTTGTGTGTGTAAACAACAGACCCCATTGAGCCATGGAGCCTCAGCAGAGGAACAGCTGTCCTGCTGGCCTTCACAGAGCAGCGCTGCGTTGTAAACTGACTTACATCGACTCCATTGAGATGCAGGAGCACATAAAGCCCCGCTGGCAGGAACTGTTGACGTCTGCCGTTTGCTGGTGCTAATTTATGCAGGATTATGCTAATTGGCGGGAGCTTTTGTAGAGCCTCTCACACACACACAGAGGAATGTCTCTGTAACAGTAGTGTGTGGAAAAGCATGTCAACTAAACTGATTCTGACTGTTTATTTACCGACACACCTTTCCCTAAGTGATGAGTCAGTGAGCTTAAGGAGGCCCTGTTCCCTTCTCCTGTAGTGTGTTGTGTCAATGATTTGCAAAGGCTAAAATCCCAAAGTTCTTGAACATAGTGACATCCCATCCTATTGGCTAGTGCTCAAAAACATTAGGTAGGCTAAGGGGCGGGACATCGGTTTATCAATCACACAACATTGTATGAGATAAATAAAGAGCTCTTTGAAGCATGGAGAAATGTCACAGTAGAGACGCTACATCTATATGAACATACAAATGTCCTCTTTAAAGTATCTTCTAGATTCCCCACCTTTAAAAATTAGCATATGTAAATACCACACGGTGGATTCTGAGATGTAGAAAAACAAAACTTTATTTGAATCCCATGTGACCCCTATTTGCCACAAGCATTGCACAGTATGAAAAAAGAAATCACATCATTGGGCATCATGTCACATAAACTATACACATGGTCCTATAATACATGGAAATGCTTTTTTTTGGTGATTTCAGAAAATGCTGTCTTTGTCAGCAAATGCCGAAACAAAAACATCTGTAGTGTTTTAATGTTACAGTCCACTGGCCGTCGTTTCTCCGCTGAGTGATGGGATGGAGGCTCAGACTAAGAACCTGCTACATTGGTCATCTGAAATATCCCTTGATGGGGAAAAGAGTATAAAAAAAACAAACAAAAAAAGCACAGAAGTTTCTTTTAAAACAGCTAAATAACAAAATAAAAACTATACTTGTACTCATGAAAACATTTACTACAGTAGTGAATCTGTTTGTCATAGATGAAGTATGTTTAAGACACTGAGATGACCTTCCTTTGCCTTTAGTGTGCAAACAAATGAGGCAAACCGAGCATGAACTCATCTGTGAAATGTACAACAGTAAACGTGTGCGGACGCGACTAACTCCTTCTCCGCTCCCTAAAACGATATAATGGAAAGACGTAAGACAGGCAGCATTTCTCTGATAACATTTTTGGTCCCTGTGTGCAAATAAGATACACATGTAGTAGATAACATACGCATGTATTTGAAATGAATAAACAGCCAAGGCACCTCGATACAGCCAATAAAAAACTCGTCAATTTGATTGGTTTACCAAAAATAGAAATGATCAGGCTTTCGTGTGGATTTGATCTGCAGACAAAGTCACTGAGGAGACCCCAAGTCACCGAGGAGACCCCAAGTCACCGAGGAGACCCGAAGTCACCGAGGAGACCCGAACAAGTCACCAAGGAGACCCGAAGTCACCAAGGAGACCCGAACAAGTCACCAAGGAGACCCGAAGTCACCGAGGAGACCCTAAGTCACCGAGGAGACCCGAAGTCACCGAGGAGACCCAAAGTCTGGACACAAAGTCACTTTCTTTCCTCTTCTCCTGCGCTTTAAGACACCAGCTGTTTGGCCTGCAGCTCCATCTCTGCAGCCCGTTTCAGGGCAACATCCACAAGGAGCTGGAAGCCACTGAAGTCCTGTGTGAGGTCCGGGGGGGTCGGGGGGGGCGTGTTGAAGAGCCCGCTGCGTGGGCTCAGGTTCCCCTCCATGCCCGTGAGCATGGTGGTAGTGGGGGGGGGTTTATGGCTCCCTTCGTCATCCTGGCACCGGAGCATCGCCTGAACCTGCAGCAGGTCAGAGTTCATCATCGTCACCGAGGGGAGGGGCTGCATCGCCGCGGTAACAGTGGTGTGACAGATGACAGACGGGCGAATGGGGAAAAGAGATGGAGACGGAGATGGAGACGAGGAGGTCGGAGACGAGGAAGGTGACGTCATCTTCCTCAGGACTCCTGGGACGTCGAATATGGAGGGGCTGAGCACCCGCTGGTCGTAGTTCTCCTCCTCCGGACCCCCTGCTGGGCTGCCGTGCTTCGGAGACTGCGAGCTGTCGGAGAAACTGTCCCCCCCTTTGCTGCCTTTCCGTGAGATGGTGAACTGGTTGGGGTCTTTGCCGTCTTTCCGCAGCATCTCTGGGAGGAGTCGCCGCCGAGCGTTAATGAACCAGTTGCACACCTGGAGGAGACGAGGAGAAAACAGGCTGTGAGAAAAGTGCACGGATCACTGCTGACACGTGCACTAGCCCCAGGTAAAGATTCACACCTGGGTTCTCAATAGAGGAATCTACACTGCGTGCACTAGAGGCATGGATCTCCCAACATTAGCTTATATCATTTTTTTTTTTAATGCTATTTTTTTTTATTGAGATTTTTTTCTTTGAATTTTTATTGTTCAATGCCAAAAATGTCCCAAATTAGGATCAAAAAAGTACTTCTTATCTTATGGGTAATGTTGGAGCTAGGTATTGCTTTTTAGGCGGCGTGTGGTGCAGTGGGTTAGTGCGTTGGTTCAAACCCCACTGCAGTCAGCATGTCGTTGTGTAATTAATAGTTACATATCAATGTTCTTGCTGTTGTTGTTTATTGTTCTTGTTTAAAAGTACAATTGTTATTCCTACTGTAGGAGCCATAAACTTACAAAGTGGTACATTTTGTTTTAATAGCAATCAGGTTTGAACTAGTTTGTGTTGTTTAGGTAATATCACCCTCTCTCCCACACACAGGTGTTTATAATGAGTGCCAACCATATCCATATGTGAAAACTACAAACCCTTACTGAGACAAAAGAATACAGAAGAAAGTGAATGACCAATAAAACAAACCGCTTCATGGCTCCTACACCTTCTCTAAAAAGAGACTCAAAGTCATCTCCTTTGTGCCGCTGTAATCTCAGTGTCTCTCCCTGCAGGCTAGTTGTAACTGGCTCACAGAGACTCCACCATGAAAATGACTCTGCATTGTTCCCAGACAGCTGGGATGGAGGGAGGGAAATTCCTGTCCTGGAAACTGAGCCAAACCCACAGCGAGGGAACCGAACGGGAGAGAGTTTACTCACGGTGTCTCACACTGTTTCAACACCAAGCTGCTTTTGGATGACCTTCAACTCTGTGTTTATGTGTCATGTTGTGTTTGCCATCTCGACAGGAAGTGATTCAGTCTCCTGTGATGTTATCAGAGTGTGTACCTGTAGTGTTGAGAGCTGAGTCTGCTTGGACAGCAGGGCTTTCTCCTGCTCCGAGGGGTAGGCGTTGTATCGGTGCTCGTACAGCCAGTCTCTGAGGATCTGCACAGACTCTTTGGGTAGATTTCCCCGCCGTTTCCTCTTCCCGTTGCTCCCCGAGCTGGACGACAGATCCAGAGGCGCGTCCACGCTGTCCTCGTCGTCCGTCTCGCTGCCCGAAAGCATCATCAAACCTGAGCGAGGAGAAAACACAGCATGAGACAAAAGGATATGTATCCTCTAAGCGCTGTGCCGCAGCCATTCACCAAACACAGGCTGTCTGGGAGGCAGCTGATGTGTCAGAAGCAAGCTGTCAAGTTCAGCCATGTGATTCATATAAGGAGCGAGGAGGGGGAGGGGGAGGAGGAGGAAGGAGGGAGGAAGGGGGGGAGACGTCACAAAGGCTGGTCTGATGCTGTGTCAGTTATAAAACCTGCCTCAACAAATACAGCCCGTTTGACTCAAAGCATGCTGGGATAAGTAGCCAGGCTGACCACAAGAAACAGTCCCTGCATGGAGGAGGAGAGGTTGTGTCTGAGAGAGGCAGCAGAGTTTCTTATTTCATTTGGAGTAATCAAAGTCAATCATGATCAAACAGGATTTAGGCCTTTTGGATTACATTGAATGGAAAAGAGGAGGGTGGGGGTGGGGGGGGGGAATAATCCTTCTAATTAACTGCTTAACACTTTGATCAGATTTTAAGTCAGGCATTTAGGTTAGTGTTCCTCATATGGTATAAAAAGACTTTTGGATCATGTTATAAAAAGTCCAAATGGCACAACGTAAAAATAAGCACTTTTTCTGTATTATTATATGTTGTTTATGTCACTTTTACGCGTGTATACAGACTTTTACGCGTGTATACAGGCAGTTTACAATGAACAGCAGCACATACGCCATTGAGAGAAGGCAGAAAGTAGATCTAGAGGCTATTTAATACAGTGTGCTCCGAGGCAAAGTAGTGGGAAAGCAGTCAGAAAGTTCCCAAAGTGTGCGCCGCCAACAGGATGAGGTAATTACGCAGCAGGCTGGAGGAAGGGGGAGGGGAGACCTGTTGCAAATCAGCGTCTCCAGACTAAACAAAAGAACCAGGGCTGTGTGCTTCTTTGTATGCAATTCAAAAGTTTCTACACGCAAAACAGTGAGTTCTCCACAAAACTAACTCGCTCTGAACTGTCCTGCTTTCACACAATGGCCAGAAAGTGAGTTTTAAAGCCACCAAGACGTTGCTTTTGTGAGTTTAAACAACTTGTAAGGGGCTTTCTATTGTGTGAGCTCTGCACCACGAGGTCCCTGAATGTAACTTCCCACAATGGGGTCAGGATGAACACTAGCCTACTTTCGGATTTGGAGATATTTTTTTAAAACAGAAAAAGGTGTTTCTGCTCGGAAGACAGCTTAAAGATGCTAGCTGACGATGTATTTGTGGAAATGTAACCCTGCAAACTCCTAAAAACTCACAGCAGTCAGCAAACTTTGACTCATAGCACCACTTTGCTCCAACTTCGACACAAATGTAGCCACTTAAATCCGGGTTCAAACTAAAATAAACCACTCGTTTATTCCAGTTTCCACATTTTACGCAAGCTTTAAAGTTAGCCTAATCACAAGCCGACAATAATGACAGGGGAAACAACACGCATGGCGACACAGCCGTGTGTTATTGTGTCAAAACGTGAAGAAACCCCAGGTAGAGAAGCAGAAATAATACACAAACCTAGCTTAATGCACTTTTGACAATGCGCCAGCACATGGCAGAAAAAGCCCCTGTCATGTCTGGAGAGGAAACAATAGACTGCATGGTTTGCATATGAGGGGAAACGGCTCTGTTAGCCCCCTCTCTCTGCTTATATACACTCAATTCCACTTTATTTCACTTAAAAAGCTTCAAACGTACCTTTTTTCGTCTTCATCTCGGTCCAAAAATGCCCACTTTTTCCCGGTGACGCGCAGAGGGAAATGGTCTTTGTGTGGTGTTTCTCCTCCAGAAATCCACAGCGTGTATCCAAATAACCGTGAATCCTTAATCATGAAAAGGCGCGTGTTTCCCCTCCGGTTTTCTTTTAATAAACCTACTTTGTGCTGGCGGTTACCTGAGATCTGTGCGTCTCTCCAGCCCCTCTCATTGACTGTGTTTGATCCTGGCTGACAGCTATCTTTGACAGCTGCGTGACTCAACCAGAGATCCTCCCACCAAAACCTCTGACATCAGCATGGTGATCCACTGACATGGATACAGTCTGTTCCTGCTGCAGACCCCCCCCCTAACAAGACACCATTTATATTAAATTATGAACCGCAGAAAGACGTTGATTTAGGCGGGCACAATGACGGCAATAACAACATCAACAACAACAACAGGCTGCTGGAGGAGCACTGCGGACCTCGTGGTGACATATCACACAAACCGGTGTAAAACACTATCTTTGCTACAGGCGATGCGTTTTAGCAGGCTGTTTGGTGTTTTGAGTGCTAGTACGATTAGTTCTTTTCTTTTTTATCTCCCTTCAGTATTTCTGCACATCATGCAGAACTATCCACTGCATTTTCGTGCTTTTTGCAATATTTTCAGTATTTGTCATCTGAAAATCCGTTTAATCACCATATAATCGCGGATTTATACCATGTGTACAATAATAATGTGAACACAATTGCACTTTCCTCTCTCATGTTGACACTATATTAGCGGTTATCATTGTGTTGCATCCTTTGAGGGACTGACTCACAGTTATCTTGTTTCAGATTGTGATTACTCTCCTGTTTGGTATTCAGTAGGCTAATACCAATTAGCTCTTTTTTTATTGTATTTCTCTTCAGTTTTTCTGCACATCATGCAGAATTATCTGCTGCATTTACGTGCTTTATTCAGTATTCCCCGTGTTTATGTCAAATCCATTGTATCACCATATAATCTGGTATAACAAGGCATTATATCGTGTTTACCATCATAATTTAAATACTACTGCACTTGTCGGTCTTATTTCTTAGCGTTTATCGTTGTATTGCATCCTCATAGTGACTGAATCATGTTTCCTTGTGTTTTTATCGTTGATTATTATGATAATCTACCGACTGTTGCTCCAATTTTTCGCTAAAATCAACAATAATAGCTAAAAAAACAACTAAAAACTAAGTAATAAGGTTATACGGTAGTGTTATTTGGAGCCAAGCGTCCAGCTGGAGGTTAGAGCAGCGGTTCAGGTTTCTAAAGACAACAGAAGAAGGATCAATGCTCTCATTTGTATTCCCCGCACAGCCCTGCGGCAGCTGCTGCTGGAGCCTCTGCAGCTAACAGACAGGAGTCAGCTCTATATGTGGGGAAATGGCGCCCCCGTGTGGCTGTTCGTGGTACTGCATCCACTGCAATACTGTTTGATAAACACAGGACGCCCTCTGGTGGTTGTTGTTGTGTAATGCAACTCAACATGGCGTGTATAATGAACAATACCTACAGGCCCCTAAGGTAAAAAAAAAACGAGAGATAGTTTGAAATAATATAATAAATAATATTTCGTCCAGTTCTGAAATAATAAATTGCTTAAATGTCTTCACTAAAGAGGCCCATGCTAAGTAAAGAGGGTTACTTTAAAAATGTACTGAGTTATAATTACTAGTTATCTAATCTGGGGATAAAAACGTAAGTGTATTATGTAAGACAACAGAACAATGTTACCTTAGAAAAGAAGAAACCAATATATTTCAGATATAGGTTCACCTACTGAATAAAAAAACTGAACAAATGAAGCAAAGAAAGTGAACACCATGAAGCAGATTCAGGCAGTAGTCGTACAGATTCACACTTAAAGTATTACAGTACAGCTAACAGAGAGGAATAATAGTTCTTGTTTTTTAATTAAAGGTTTACTCTAAAGCTTCATAAGTGATTGAACAGCGGTAGCTTATATTAAGCCCTCACAGTGATTGTGTTTCGACCAGCTGAAACAGTCAGTGTTATAAATAGAGACTGAGCAGGTTAGGCATGCAGCGGCCTGCTGTTGTGCCAAGAGCACATATTTTGTGCCATTTTTGGTTTAGTATACAGCCTCTGACGGTCTGAGAGGCTTAAAGACACAGCGAGAAAGAACACAGCAGAATTTGCCCTCAGAAGAATAGAGATTAACTTTAGAAACTTTGCTATTTTCAGACCAAACGAAGAAGGAATGCTTGTATACCAACACTTTACTGCGGGCAAAACTGTGTTTAACACTTAAATCATTATTATATTAATACGTTTTTAGTGTTTTATAAGAAGGGTTATTGTATTGTATTATATATCATTATTAGTTCCCCCTTAAGTCAAAATATGAACTAATGAAACGTTTTTCTCAAAGTTAATTGAGTAATTAGGAGGTATGAGTTTATTTAGATAATTTAACGTCCTTTTCATACTTTCCATCCCAATTACCTCTGCTTTTGTCCAAATGTACGTTTTAATGGCCGTTTTTATTTGCTTATAAATAACGTTTGCCACTTTCTTCCCCTATTTTTGTGTGTTTTTTTTGGTACTATTTCGATGCATTTCAGTTTTTCACATCATCCTAGAAATCAGTGGACTGTGACACATCAAACCCCTCACATTAGTGGAGAGCTCAAACTCTGACGCACTGACCTCAGATTGGAAAGCTGCGTCAACGCGCATACCAACAGCATGAAGGCAACCGGAAGTTAGGTGGTTTAGATTTTCAAAATAAGTGTGTGTATATAGCACTTTTCATATCCAAAGGTAACTCGGAGTGCTTTACAAACCAAACACAGAGACAATTATAACCAATTCTTATCTCCACCTTCACTAGAGTAATATCTTTGATTAAAAAACACTTAACACATGGACTAATTAAAACAGGATGAAAACATATCATACATTTACAAAATTAAGAAAAAATGACGTGTGACATATTTGTATGCATTTTATTTTGACAACCAAACGGAAATAGCATGTGTTTCATGGTGTCTAACTTGACCTAGTTGATCAGACCGTGTTTTGTTACGGTTAAGTCTAAAATTAGGGAGGCGCCCCAACAGCAAATTACGCAACAGTCTAAACCTGCTCGTCTGAGTGTGAATGGTGTCGGGGCTCAGGACCATGGAGACCACAACTCCGCTGTTGTTGATGTCATGGAAGGTATTTTTAGATGTTGTTGTCATGTTTCTGTAACAGCCGTTCAGTATAAAGGACTCCTTCAAGATGCAGCTGTACAACAGTGCGCTCACACACTACCCGAGGTCGTCTCACAAAGTTACCATAACTTTACTGACTGGCTCTGAGCGACTGAACTCCTCTGACGCACCAAAACCAGGATTTACGCACCAAAGCGCCACTTCTCCAAACACTGATCCGGTGAGAGACTCTTCCGCAAACATGCCTGCGTTTTCCTGCTACGAAGCTTCATCAATGAGGCCGGTTTACTTCACCTCCACTGCTGAGATATCCATCCGCAGACCTGATGGAGTGGAGAGGTCTGTGCCAGTCCATGTCGTGAGGGAAACCAAGACCAAACCTCCCGTGTCTCCAAATGGTGACAGTTTCCTGTGTGGTGACTCTGATGTGATTGAGGACTTGATAGATCATCTGAGGAATGGCAGGGATGAGCTTTTCTCTGACTGCAAACAGCTGCTTCGAGATCAAACACACCACATCTGCAGAAAAGACAACAAGAGGGAGTTTGGGAATTCAAGCGAGGATGACACCGTTTCTCAATCTCCTGTCAGAAGCAATGGGTGGTCCTTACATGAGGAGGAAGTAGTTCCCCTTAGAGAAGATCGTCGTGCAGACCTCATCCTGGATGATTTTAAGGATCTGAGCAATGGCATGCCAGCATCCGATGAGAAACGGGGCTTTGAGCTCAGCGTCCTGCAGGACTCCCCTCCACAGAAGCACCCAGAAACAGGCAACAAAGTGACACGGTACCTGGCCGAAGTGGAGAAACAGAACAAGTATCTCCAAGGGGAACACAAGTACAGGTACCACATCATTCCAGATGGCAACTGCCTGTACAGGGCGGTGTGCAAAGCCACCTTCGGGGACCAGTCGAGGCACGGGGAGCTCAGGGAGCAGACGGTGCACCACATCGCCGACCACCTGGAGGAGTTCAACCCCATCATCGAGGGAGATGTCGGGGAGTTCCTCATCAACGCGGCACAGGAGGGAGCGTGGGCCGGATACCCCGAACTGCTCGCCATGAGCCAGATGCTGGACGTCAACATGCACCTGACGACAGGGGGGAGTCTGGAGAGCCCCACCGTGTCCACCATGGTGCACTATCTCGGGGAGGAGGACGTGTCCAAAGTGTCCATCTGGCTGAGTTGGCTGAGTAACGGGCACTACGACGTCCTGCTGGATCAGAGTCTCCAAAACCCAGAGTACGAGGAGTGGTGCAGACTCTCTCAGATGCAGAGGAAACGAGACGAGGAGCTGGCGAAGTCCATGGCCGCCTCGCTGTCCAAAATGTACATTGAGCAAAATGGATGTGCGTGGAAGAGTTAAAGGACAGATGATCCTGCTTGGGTTCTACATGCTTGAAATTATTTTTTTATAAGGTTTATATCGGGGGAAAGGAAGTGCAGTGCACATACTTTGGTTTTGTATAATGCCGACTTATTGGCAGTGGTTTGAAAGTGTGTATTTATTGGCCTTTTGTTGGAAGACTGGATATTTTTCTATCGTGTTTGTGCTTCGTAGACAGACAGATCTAGTTTGCTTTGTGTCTCTATAGCTACTGTTTAATACTCTCTTTTGCACAAAAGTCACATCAGACAAGTCCAGAGGGTTTGAGTTGTGCCTATTGTTTCTATTATTCCAGTTTCTTTTTCTAGGCTTTTGACAAAATATCACAAATAAAGTTTTGAGGAAACCTGATTGGATGTCATGTTTGATTTCAATGCTTCAATTCTAATCTCAAACGTCATCTTGGATGCTTTGCTGTAATGGGATCCTTATATTACAGGTTTGTCTCCTGCTGTCTTTATAACATGCAGTGACTCAGGAGCCATTCATTCAGGTCAGGCTGCAGGATCAGTGACTGGTTTCCTACGCAGATCACTTCCGATGAGTCAAACCTATATCGAAAGTGCAATATCATAGCATTCTTTTGATTATTTTGCTCCATATTTAACTTTTATGATAACCCTCTGACTTGCTTGGGGAGTCACAGAAGTAAAAAAACATCTTATAGTTATTTCTTCTTGTATTTGTTTGCAATGCGTTTGATATTGAGGTAATCCAAAAGTCACGAGAAGTAATCAGGTTACTTCACTACATAACTACATTTTGAATTAGCCTTGGCAACTCGGATGCAGTACAAACAAGCTGGAAAAACAACATTGAAACCCTTTTTTAATTAATGTCCACACATCCAGCAGCTACAAAGCATGCTATCAATTAGCATTAGCATCCATTTCAAGTCTCTTTAGGTCACTCCTGAGGACATATCCTGCTCACCATGGAGGACTCAGTCTGCTGTTTGACTCTGAGCAGGTTTTCCCCTTCATGATTTAAAATGTATTGAATGTAGGCCTGTCTTCGTAGTTGCTGTCCATCAGTAAAGTACATTTTCCTCCAGTTATTGTGGATTAATATAATACGCAGTGATGGAAGAATTATTTTACTCATTAGCTTTTTACTTTTTCTTAATGAACAATATCAATGCAGGGCTTATTGTAACATAATATTCTAAGTCTAAGTAATTTACTCGGCATCAAAATAATGGGGCTGATTTTTAACCCCAGTCCGCCCCTGGCTCTCTGCTATAATTATGTATAATTATTATTTGTGTCCACCTCCTTTCTGACGTTTATCATAAGGCCAACCCTCTGATAGCGTTTCACTTTTCCTCCACTAGGTGGCGGTGTAGCCTCTCATATACATTTAAGCAGAGTGACTTTATTATAAAAGGAAACTGTGCCTTTTAAAAAAACTTATATCAATGTATTATCCTACACAACAGTACAGTTTACAAGAATAGATAACACCTGATCCTTTACAACAAACACTAGATGCTCTTTTTAGGTTTTAACTAACACTGTAATCATGCTTGTAATCCTGCTGTCGTTACACATCATGTAAGAGTCCCATTTACTTTCACACAGGTCTAAATAGAGACTGCACATATTTGAAGTGTTCTGCTATGACGGAAATCCTTTTCATGCACGTATAACATTGTAATCCTGCTAGTTATCCCAAATTATTTAGAAATTAAACAGTAATCTGAATTCTTTTAATGTAACTTTAAGGGAATACAGTTAGGCTACCTTTTTTTGTACCCTGTTAATCCCGTTACCTGTAATACATTTTTCCCAAATCAGTTTCCTTTAACCTCATCATGGGCTGAAAGCTGTACAGTTATGACGTCACCCTGCAGTCATGTGGACTTCAGGGATGAACGAAAAAAGTTTGTATCTTATTTCTTAATGCAGGAGGAGAGAAGGAGCCTCTTCCTGTTTCAGAGCAGAGGTGAGAGTGGACCGCAGTCCTGGCTCACACACACACACACACACACACACACACACACACACTGGGAGCAGCAGAGGAAGTCAATGAGTGTGTCGGTGAATGAGTCCACATCTCAGAGATTCACCGCGTGTGTGGAAGTTACTTTCAAACAAACCGGGAGAAGATGTCGGGACACCGGGTGCAGTTCGCCGACCTTCCCCCGAGCAAAGGCAGCCCTAAATATCACAGTAAGTAGTTTTTATTACCGTAATTACCCCGGTACGAGTCATGTGTGTGAAAGTCCCGGAGTTTTTGGCTGTTTTCACGAGTTCCCCCTCTGCAGCTGTCACAATGTGAAAGTAACCAGAGTTGTAGAAGCCTAATACAGGGTACTAGTAAAGAAGAGTTGAATATGTGTTTTATTTCATGCTTATTAGCTCTGGGAAACACAGTTGTGCTCCATTAACCTTGGATTACATGATAATACTTCTCAAAATAGCCAAGAAAAATGAATAAATGTTAGATTTTCTTCTAAATCTGAATGCATAACTTGACATATAGTGTTTGATGCAATGTAATACCAGTTTCTCACTATTTTCTGCTACTTATATTCCATATTATGTTCCTTATGCGTGGTTTGAGAATGTTGTGATGACCCTCACCTGCCTCTCCATCAGTGGAGACCCCTCTGCGGCCCACTTATCTGAAGTGGTAGATGCCCTTTACTAACTTTTCATATCCTGACTGAGTGTAATTCTCCTCCTGCTAGGTAATGCTCACCTTGAGATGCATTTAGTGACCCCTACAGTCTGTAAATGTTACACGTAAGTGGTTGTTATGTAGGAACATTCAGGGCTTGCATGCTTTTTATTTAAGTGGTGGTCTAAAGATGTGACTGTGGTCACTTCTGCTGCAGTGTATGCAGCACAGAGAAGCTGACTGACTAGAACATGTATATCCCACTATATTCATTTCCTACTTTGACTTCATTATGGGCTGAGTATCTATATTTTCCTCTTAAAGCCTTATACTTTTGACATCACCCTGCAGACATGTGGACAAGGTGTGAACAAAGTTAGTATTTTTAATTATTTAAGTGGTTGTTAAGGATGTGATTGTGCATGCTTCTTCTGCAGTGTATGCACTACAGCACGAGACACAGAGAAGCTGATTTCAGTAACTAGATAATGTATTTCCCAAAATATAAGAACATTCAGTGTCCTACTTTAACTGTATCATGTGCTGAGTAGCCTATTGGACACAACCCTGCAGTCACGTGGACACTACATGTGTATTAGAGTTAGTATTTGGGATGTTAGTGGTGGTTTAAGGATGTGACTGCGTGCTTCTGCTGCAGTGCACGCACTACAGCGTGAGACACAAGAGAAGCTGAGCACATCTCCATAGCGACAGCTTGAGTGACAGGACACGTGAGGAAAGACGCAATGGAAAATTGCCAGTTTTGCTGCAAAGCCCTCCGGAGTACTGTGTGTGTGTGTGTGTGTGTGTGTGTGTGTGTGTGTGTGTGTTGCCTGAGTGACGCTAACACAATGTGCACTCATTCAGAAGCAATTAAGCACACAAA